CCCATAATTTTTAATATAAAGGAATGAATGTTTTCTGATTTTAGTCCTAAATGTACCTGCTTTCAATTTCCAAATGGCTTCAGTATAGACTTTAGTTTTAGTTTGAAGGCAATAGGAGCACAGACTCTCGTGTATAGCCTGTTTTTTTTGTTTGGGGAATTTTTAAATTTATATTTCCACATTTTGTTTGTAGTTATTGTGTATTGTGTGTGTGTGTGTGTGTTTGTTTCTATAGGTTGTAATATGCATATTTGTTTTGTATTTGTAGTGTACATATGTAAAACTGTCAAAACATAAACTGATAAAAAAAAATTCAGTCTTGGTAAATTTGCTGTACTTCCATCCTTGTAAATTTCCTTTTAATTTTTTACTTCTAAGAAAAATTTTTATCCCTAAAGAACCTTATTATTAATACGTATATAAAATATTATATATCTGAATATTTTATGATGAATTACTACCAGCTCAGCTCTTGTTTTACCATAGTATTAGGTCATGGATAGTAGGAGGTATGCCTATCAATATACCTTGAATTTAACATCAGAGCTCGCATTATATATATAAAGTTTGTGTACTTTCTTTTACAATTAACATAATTAATACACGGTGAAATTAGAAATTATTCAGAATATTTCAAATACATAAACTGTGTAGCAGAAACTTCCCAGTGAAATAAAACTAAGTAGGAAGGTCACGAATGGTACCAACTGTATAAAAGTTGAAAAAAAAAGATCTTTAGTTTCAGATGTTTTCCAGACTATAGGTAAAAATATATATAGAAAATTACAGTGATAAAGTTTTGAAATCAAGAACTCTGTGATGTTTCGTTACGTAGCAACTAAAAATTGTATTGGGTAAAAGTCACTTTTATAACTCAAAATTAATTGTTTTGTTAGCCAATTATGCCACCCCACATTAAGTAATAAATATTAGCTAGTTACAGATTATAAGAATTTTTTTAACATAATTTTTTAATGAATGCCTACTGTTATTTCAGAGTTTCTAATTGTTTTTGTTTGTAGCTGTTATTTTTCTTATGCCTGGTGAAATTATAGTAACTATTTAATGTGTAATATTGAACAGCTTCATTTATAGTATTATTAATAAGTAAGATTATATGGAAGCAAGTGCAAAAAACTTCAATGTCAAATGATAGTTAACTACAGTTACTGGCTGTTATATATTATTTTTAGATATACATTTATTTTGGAAGTGTTATTTGTTATAGGTAGAAAACAAATTAAAGAACTAATTTAAAGCAAAACAAGCAGAGAAAAGCATTATTTGGTAGCTAATGTTGAATATATAAATAGTTAATTTACAGATTTTCCTTGCTAAGTCAGAACTAGAATGTACAGACACATTTATCCAGGGTTTCCATTATCTTTAAGACTTGGTGAGTGATACTATTGAAGAAGGTGGTTAACCCTGTTAATAAGAGGTAACTCTGGCCAAAGACCCAATATTGTGCTTTTAGGCATGATCCGTATAGAGGGTTTGGGGGCATAGTTCGCAAAAAATGTTTTAAATCAAGACTATCAGAAACAACATTTCATGCAATTTTTGTTTTGTTTTCAAACAACAATATGAACAAAATTGACAGAATGAAAAATTAATATGTCGTTTGCACCTTTTGTATAAATACCTTGACTTTGTTCCCTATATTACTGTCATGATGCTATTGAACACATGCATCGTTATTAACCCACTCATCATGGCCATCGGTTTCTGTGCATGACACAAGGTTTTAGTGAGTTTCCTTCAAAATTTAATTAAACTACTTTCTTTTCATGATATACCAATAAATATAGCATAAAATGTAGCTAATAAGTTGTATTTTAATGGTGTATAAATTTTAAGTTCTTACTTTTATAAGACAATATAAAAAAAATCTAGAATTTCCCCTAGTGTGAGAATTATGACATTTGCTCTCTAGGCATACTCTTTTCTCTATTTTATTTACCACCCCACCAAGAAGTAAAAAATTTAATGTAAATTATTTATTATAATATCGTAATCACTCAGGCAATGCATAATTTTTATAGCCCTCAATCTTATTGGTTACAAAGCCATGAAATATACAACCAGACCCCTCCTGTCATGCCTACTTGTCACAACCTCTCTTTCAAAAACTGTCAAAAGTTCTCTCTCTGGCATTCAATACTATAGTATTTATAATTAATAGAAAGCCAAGGTTTTCATCTCTCAAATTATGTATTATATTACATTGTTTTCTGTACAGGGAATTGAATATTTTCCTTTCAGTTCAAACTTTATTCCCATGGGAAATGCATTGATGAGCTTATTTGAATTCCTAATGGTTCTTGTCACATAGTTAGAAAGCCAGAAAATTTGTGATAGTTATGAGACATTATCTGGTTTTTGTGCATTGTTATTCTGTGTTAGTTGATGCATTATTTAATTAAATAAAATAAATATTTAGTGCAGTCTACCATTAGTTTAAAAAAGAGTTAAGTGTCATCAACAGTTGACAGCAAAAAAAAAAACACAAAAGACCCAGGTAAGTACTTTTTTCTTGTTTTTCATGTGTATTCTTTATTTATTATAATAAAAAGTATTTATGTTAGTTAAGGTTAGATTAGGTGAAATAAGTAGTAATATCATAAAAAAATTTCATGAGGTACAGTCGTGAGGATCTCTTGAGCTGCATGTTTGCTAAGTGATTTACAACTCATAATAATATAAATAGTAATTAGACAGGGTTAAAAGGGCAATAAAACAATAAAATCTTAAGTATAAATAGATGTATACTGTAATGAGTTTAATGCAATTTAGGATAAACAAATGTAGTTTCATATTACAAATTGAAGTCATTCTACAAAGAAAAAAGGGGTAATTTCAATTTTTAAAATTTTTTTTTGGTTACAAGGTCAATCAACTTGACCAACCTTGTATAAAGTTAGGGTAGAGAAAATAACAGATAAAAATATAGTTTATTGTAAAATATGCTTGAAATTTATTTGGGAGGTTTTTAGAGATTATACAAATAAAATTTGAGGTTTTTGAGATGAAGTAAAGTATTATTAATTTTAACATGAAAATCACTTTGCACTCAGACTAGTATCTAGAAATACTATCTGTATTCACAGACAAAACTTTAGTAAAAATACTTCATTAAAAAATTGATTTTTTTGTGTACAAAAGGTTTTTAATGTTTTCTAAAACTCTGTAAAATGTTATGAAGATACACCATGTGTATTAAAATTTATAGTATGGAAACTATAACAAGTACAAAAGTGGTTACGATGTTGGTCAATTTGACCAACTTCGTTTTGAGAGAGTTAAAAGTTGGGGGAGGCAAGTGTAAGAAAGTGATTGAACAAGATGAGAAAAATGTTTTCCAAAAAATATATTCAAAGTGGTATGACATGTACCCTCCTTGTCTATGCTACTGAAGTAAACAAAACTAGTCAGCAAATTTGAAAATGTCTTTTCTTTGTGAGCATTGCAATTTATTAACTTAATCAGTAAGAGTAGAATCATATTTCATTACGTGTACAAGCATACCAGTGACTGTCCAACAGAAAAATATGGTGTTATTATGTACATTATAATTTCCTCACTTCTCACTCATTGAAAGCATTTAATATGAATTTAAAATTATTTAAAAAAACTTTTTTAAAGCAAAGTGAGGCTCACATAGGTTGCAGTTGAAATTATTCTGATGGCTGAGTTACTCCAGGCTAAAAATTATAAAGAAAAACTAGTAGAAAAGGTATATACAAAACCAAGGTATTCAGGTAGATGAAATTGAATGAACTGAAGTAAGCAAATGATTTAACTAACACCAGGCATCTAATGAAAACTACAGGCCTACAGAATGGAGACACTAATAAATGTTATATTACAGGCCTACCAAATAAGGATACTAATAAAGATTGTATTACAGGCCTACAGAATGGAGACACTAATAGATCCAAACATGGCCATCAAACCTGTTCAGATTCCTCATCACAAAGGAAGAAAAAGAATGCATCTAGGTGAAGCTCGTTGTTTATTTTTATAATAACTTTAATATACTTAACTGTAAAAGTTTGAGAATGTAAGAATTAAAACAGTTAAAAAGAATAAATATTGTTATAAACATTTATAAGCTTTCAGAAAAACAGTAACTGTTGTTGAAAAGTTACACATGTTAAGAATTGTAGTAGTATTTTTTTACAAATTGTTTGGTTACTGTATTGCATTGACATGTTAAATGTTTGGTTATGTAAACATTAATTATTCAGAATGCAGTCCATAATAATTAGTTTATAATATTCCAAAGTTTTAAATTTAAAACTGACTGTCAAATCATGTAAGTAGACTGTTTCTAATAGTAATGTAATGTTCATAGTTACACTTCTTTAATTTTTGTGATCCTGCAGCTGAAAATGAAAATCATTTGGGAGAATTCCTGGAAAAATACTTTAGTCCATTTGTGGTTATATTTAATGTGTATTATTAATATTTGGTTTAAAACACATATATATATATATATATATATATATATATATATATATATATA